TTTTCTGTATGTATGTACACGGGCATGTACACGCTTTAGAGCGAACTAAATTGAGTTCTCAAAAAGATTTCGATCATTTCCCGATTTTCGCAGTCAAAATATTAATTTCTGAAGCGCCGAATATTAGCTATCGCGATAGATAGCCGCGCGAAGAGTGGGGATGGTTGGCAAGCGCTCCGCCGCCCGTGCCGCGCACACCGCCGCTAGCCCCCAAACGTCCGCTTCCCGCGGCCCGCGCACCCATCGCGGCGTTCTGTAGGCGTTACACTCAATGGTGTGGTAGGCCGGACGGACGCGCGTATTTGCCAATCTTTAAAAATTAATATCTCGTTAACTATTGCTGCAATCCCAAAATGGTACAGGACTTTTCGACTCAGTATAGTCTGTTCTACCCACCTGTGAAATATTTGGCGGTTATTCTCGCCCACCCTGTATATACATTTCTTTTCTGTTGTCCGCGCTCGTTTGTATATATATATATTTTTTCTGTTACCCGCGCTCGTTTATTTTCTTCGCTGTATTATTGTAAGTCGCGTCCGTTAATTATATATTCCTATATGTTATTTTTCTCTTCGATTATTATAATTTCCGTATCATCTAGCTTGTCTTAATAAACTATGTTTCTTGTCTAACTATTACTTTCGCATTAGTATTTTCTTTACCGATTTCCGACGCTTCACATAATTTTCCGCCGCCCCGTTCCGACGCGAATACTCCTCCAGCCGAACCTTTTTTATACGACACGCAAATCTTTCCGACGAGCTAGTCCGAGTATAAAAAGCAGGTAGTTACAAAGATATAAAGGTCACCTCCACTTTTTTAAATGGAATTATGTAATTTTTTTTAGATAAGGTGATTCCTCTAATTATTTTGCATATAAAAGTATTAAGGTAGAGATAACACATAGTTGCTCTAAAAAAATATGTATACAAAATGGATAATTTTTTAAATACGCAACTATGTGTTTTTTTTACACCATTTGATTTATCTCATTATTCTGTTCACAAAAGTATTAAGGTGCGATAATCAAAAAGTCAACAGTTTACGAGTTATTTAACATTTTGTATCAATATGTATCGAAATAAAGTGTAAAATATCTCGAAAATTATTGGTTTTTTGGTATCTCTACCTTAATACTTTTATATGCAAAATAATTAGAGGAATCACCTTATCTAAAAAAAATTACATAATTCCATTTAAAAAAGTGGAGGTGACCTTCATATCTTTTTAGCGCCTCCACCAAAAAAACAATTATTGACATCACATTATGTGCCCCTCGAAACCAAGCAACTTTTGTTTGACACTTTTTCTTCTATTGTCAAAAACGAGCGAGTTATTCAGGTGACCTGTTTTAAATGCCCCTCCCTGTATACATAGACCGAGCATTCCCATGCTTTTCAGTGGGGGTTGAAGCCGGAAATTGACAGTTTAAGTAGACCCGTGTTATCTCACTTTATCTCGCGGTATATTCAGCTATATTCTTTCCTTCTTGTATCGTTGGTCTACATTTTCTGACTAGTGTTGTCAAGAGCACATAACCTTTCTCATATTATTATTGATTCCGTGAATCCCAGAGAGAAACACGAAAATGACGAAAAAAATGTTGTTCACTGAGCAAATTTAGAAAAATGTTATATAAATGATGCCTAAGTTAATTGGTTAGGTTAGGTTGAGATAAATGTATCACTCGATTATATTAATATAAATTTTACTATTATTAGTTAAGTATAATTAGGTTTGTATAATAATTATTTGAATAAATTTGATATATTTTCAACATTATTTCAAAATAAAATAATTTTATCTCATATGGTTATGATCGCACTTTCTGACCTGTTTATTTACACTTGCGACTGTCAAGAGTGCTTCTCTTTCTCTTTCAAAATAGAAAGAGATGCAACGGGTCTAGTTAAACTGCCAACTTCCGGCTTCAAGCTAAGAACAGAATGCTCGGTCTATGTATATGTCGTTGGTAGGAACCAATTTTTTTCTATTTTCAGGCGAAAACAGATAATATTATAAATCTTATTTGGACCGTGAGAGTTTCAAACTAAATACCGATGAGGATAAGCCATTTACGCTGTATTTTGGATGCTTCTAATATAATTTCAAGCTGTATCTTGGATGCTTCTAATATAATTTCGTGTGAACTTATATACTACATATGTAGATCCTTAAACACGCGCCAAAATTTTTTTAAACTTACAAAAAAAATGCAAACTAATAAATTACCGCAATACTATCACGAGTTAAATTAATTAACAATTTCTGATGCTCATTGCATCTTGGATCTTAAAAATATGTTGAATAACATATTAAAATCTATGAATGACATATTAAAAATCCGAAAATAATTTAATTACATTGCGAAAAATATCAGAGTTGCCACAAGTCAGGAAAATGTCAGAGAATGTAAAAATGCGTCAATGAAGTCAGGAAAAATCAGGGATTTAGCATATTTGTCAGGAAAAATAAAATAGCTGTAAAGAAATTTATTTATATCACGGCGCTACAATTGATAAAAGTCATTGATAAAATCATTCCGCTTCGTTCTTCAAGCCAACTTGCCGGATAATTCTTTACCTTTATGATTTGCCGTGATCTTGCGGTGCTAGTGAACTATTGCCTTGTGCGTATATAATATGAACTACCTCTTTTTTTTTTAAATTCAATTCCTCAAAAATATCTGCATCTATGTTAAATTACTGGATCAACAGAATATTTAACATTTTCCATATTACAATAAAAATACAAGAAACATTGCAAAATATGTATTATTTAAAGTCAGGAAAAATTTCAAAATTTTATCAGTAAATCAGGGAAATGTCAGGAAATTTTATGATTAAATATTTGTGGCAACCCTGAATATTACCTCGGCCAGGAGTCGAACCCGGTTGAAAAATAACTTGCAGGCAAGATCATCCCGCATGGGAGTAAATAAGATGCCGCAAGATCACCCAGCAGATCTCTCACAGATAGAGTGATCTCCTACAGAGCTAATGAACTCTGCAATGAATATCACACCAGTGGTATTCTGTCGTCATCCTGCCGTGACGATGCTAAAAGAATTAGCCTGGTCCTACAAACACTCCGGTTTCGGAGAAACCGCTCGACGAAGAGTTCTCTCTACTCCCATGACAACTAGTACCCATAGCCCTCTCCAAGGATCCTCGACAGAGACGGGCGGCCACGAGATTTGTCGCATCTCAGACGGACCTCCACCCCGGGTCTCCTAGATAGCCGCTACCAAAGGTAGGGCAGATCAGCCCGTTGCCGGAGACGTTTCGAAAGCACCCATGAATGCCAGGGCATCGCAAGAGAAAGGAGGAGATCCAAGGAAAAAGTAGAGGTTGCACGAACTCTTCGGTACCGACTCCTCGGAGAAGTAACACACACACACACTTACGCCCGCACAACACATCACACACAGGTGCCGGCACCCTAAGAGTTCTTTCACATATAAGCTGACTGTACAGCACATTTAACTAATTACACACTCTCATGTCTTATATACAGTATAGAGCTGAATAAAGAGCCATTTGTATAATTGGTTCGATTATTTGTGGACTTCATTGTATTTTCAGATCCAGTATCCCAGTTTGAAACTCTCAAAGATCCAAATAAGATTTGATATAAAATATTGTACTTTTATGCTTTCTTCTTTATATATTGCTAACCTCCTTGCTCTGCAAAGTTCTTTCCCAAGCTGACATTCGTGTTTGCGCTCCGTAAAGTGCCATCAGAGTCGGTAAAAATCTCCAGTTTTGAACTTCCACTTGTGCTTTCATTAATTGTACTAGTATTTCACATTCTAATCTGAACAACGAGGATTATTAGTTTTTAACATACATCAAAATTTATAACTCATATTATTAAAATTATATTTTACTATAGTAACATTATAAGAGGATACACACGTTAAACTTGTCTTGATAGCAGTTAATGCCAAATGAGAACAGGATAACAAATAGCACTTTACTATTCCTTCTATACATTGCAGTAATTCTTGATGCTTCATAACTTTGTTATTTACACTCATATTGTACATTCTTTCGTAGCTATAATGCAATAATTACCAATATAACATTAGAAACAAAAGGCTGAAATATTAATATACTGACAAATCTATCAGCTGGATTCTTGCCGTGATGAATTGGCAGAGCTGACTAGAAACATTTGCAACTGTTGCACCAATTAAATTTGTCCCTTTAGTCATTTCCTCTAATCTTTTCAAATCAGACTTCAGTGATTCATAGACAGTCTTTAAAGAATTCTGTAAATAATAGTAAATTAAATAATCATTGTAATGATTCTCATATAAGAATTCACAAACCAATAGAAGATACCGATTCTTACTACATTAATAAAAAACAATTTTTTTCATTACATATGTTCAAGGAACAGTTAATCACAAATTAAAATTTATAGATATATTTATTAGATATCCAGTACATAACGTCAGACTGTTCAAAAATTTATCTTCGATATACAATAATCTACAACAATTTTAGGTTAGATAAAAATGAAAAAAATAATAAGTAATAAATCATACATCTGAGGAGGGCCAAAACCCGAGGCCAAAACATGTCATGATTTATATATTATTCAACGCTTTACATAATCTTATTAATGATTAATTTTTTGTGTTAATTTTTATATATTTTTTTATATATATAGTAATTTTTTTATATATATAGTAATTTTTTTATATATATGTCAATACATTAGCGTTGTTTCAAATTTTTAATTTTGAATGTTTGACTCTTATTAACCTTGTACCTATATTTATTATATTTGTAATAAATCATGATAATTATATAATAAATTAATATTTCAAAGTTATTAATATTTTTTCAGATAATTATTTTCTTTTGAAACATAGTGCATATACTTGCTTGAAACAATTATTCCATATAAAGATAATGGACATTTAATCAGAAATCAAAGAATAAGACTGAAATAATCATTGACTGAAGCATTTTCTTTGTTGTTAAATACATACATCCTTCCTAAGAAAACCTTTATTTTTAGTGTTGAGGAAACCTAAATCCGCATATGAACGTTCAGCAACAGCTATTTGTGGTAAATGCATCAGAAGCATTCCCCATGGACCCATTTGCATCTGCTTACACGATTCTCTTTCTTTCTCCTGAATTAAATTTATATCTTTTTCAGATAGAAAAATACAACTGCATTTATATGTACTTATTTATATTAATATACATATAACAGAATTAGATTCCCTTACAACTGTTTCTTTAGCCTTGTCGGAGCATAATTGAGCGACTTGTGTAAAAAAAGCGTTAAGAAACTCATCCTCGTGATCCATCCTTTATTTTTGTTTGCAGCATATGCGGATAAACAACGAACAATGCGACTATTGCCGTCATACTGACGAGGTTATGTCACAGTATATACAGTAGCGCAACTCTCCTGATTTTGTGAAGCCTAAAATGAAGTGCGCATGCGCGGCCTAGAGTCCTAGATATCTAGGACTCTAGCGCGGCCGAGGCGCGTAACCAATTAGGGCATTGTATTCTATCTCACTTCTTCTTTCTATTGTCGGTGTCTGTCAGTCCCATTGAAATGTCCATATAAGGCATTTAAAGGACCATTTGACGGAAAGTGGCGGGAACGCGACGAATTTTATGTGAGAAACAGTGAGAATAGTGCTACGTGTGATAAAGTGATAAGTGATACGTGTTTAATTTTAATAATTATTCAGTGTATTCAGACGTGTTTAAGAAAGTGTAAAAAAACAGAGAACGTAGACCGAGTTAGCTTTACGGAGAATAGGTTATCTGTACAAAAATAGTACAGATTTCAAATTCTCTTGAAGCACTTTGATCTTAGCTTTCTGTTACAGATATTTGGAGAGATTTTAAAAGGCGAAAAAAATGTGTGCTCAAAAATCAAGCGGATGGTGTGTCGTAAAGGAGGACTGTAATAAAAATATTGTGGAAAAACGACACTTTTTTCGGTTTCCAAAGGAACATGACAGGTACAACTTTTTATTTCATTTATTTTCTAAAACACATACGAATTTATTGTATATTATGCTATATATTAACATATGTATATTTGGAATATTCAATATTTTTTAATTTCTGTATACAACACATATATATATACCATAACATATATATAACATATATATAACATATATATATGTATATGTGTAGATATATATATCTATTATTTTTTTATCTATATTTTATTTGTATTTACAATAACCAATATAATAATATTTATATAGATGGTTGCAATGGATACGTGCGTGTGAAAGATTAGATTTAGAAGCAAGTGGAGCAGAATATGCCCATCGCATTTATAGATTGTGCCACTTACATTTTGAAGAAAAGTGGTACAATATAAGCAAGAGTAGAGCTATTCTTCATCCGGATGCAGTACCAACAAAATTATGAGAGAGAGAGAGAGAGAGAGAGAGAGAATATTCTTGCATTTCCTAATATCTGCGGTTACTATATTCAATATGAAAAAAATATAATAAATATAAGTAATTTTATTCGAGCCATATGATATTTCAAAATATGAAATACCACATTAATTATATATCCAAACAAAACAAGTCATCATTGTATCAAAATGATGTTAAAATTGTTCCAAAATGATCATTAAAAGTCATTTTTCAATCATTCTAATGTCATTTTGACTTTATTGTGACTTTCTGTTCTAATTGCGTATATATTATATTGTATACACAAGATATATGCTATACATACAATATTGCTGTACAATTAGTTAATAATAATATATTTTGTGGGTATATTTAATTGCAAAATATAGTGTTATAAAATAAATGTGCATTATATATGTTTAATTTTTATTTTATTTTCTCTTTCAAATGCGTCTCGTTTTTCACTGTGAGTATTAAATATCTATATAGTGTAAACGAGAACTATAGATTTCTGTATTCGCTGTGAATAATGAAATAAATTAAGATAATTTTATAAAAGTTACTTGTTAGTACGCGTATTCAAATGTGCAAATTAGGTTAGGACATTGCTAGAACATAAATTAGAAAGAGAGAAAAGGTTATAAACAGAGAGCAGAAGTGAGATAGAATACAGTGCCCTGATTGGTTACGCGCCTCGGCCGCGCATGCGCACTCCATTTTAGGCTTCACTAACATCAAAGGTGCCGACAGAGAGTTGCGCTACTGTATATACTGTGGTTATGTTCCAAACTGCTTTTTCTACTGAACTACAGAGCATGGTAAATAAGTAAGGTATAAAGCGGGGAGCACAGACTTTTGCATAACGCATAAAGCATGCGCATAAAGAATTTCATTGGCCCATTTTCTTATGCATGAGTCATTGAACCAATCAAATTCTTTATGTATATGGTTTATGCGTTATGCAAAAGTCTGTGCTCCCCGCTTAAACTCGGAACGCACCCTAGGGATTATAAATTAAACGTTTCAACTTTGAAGTGAAATATCTCGATTTTCAATCCCGTAATGAGTAGTGACCCTCTAATAAGAGTCTGGACACGTGAAGTCCGCCATTATTCGTCGAAATTGTGCGAGAGAGAAAAAATCATGCTATCTCATTCTAGTGGCGCTGTAAGTTGTAGCTGATTGTAGCTCTACAAACTTCATAGTTTCTGTTTC